CTCAACATCTGTGAAGTGAGCTAATCAAATCTACTTCATAAAACTAATGATATTGTTTATTACTGCTTAGCAAAAGAACTGAGATAAAACTCTGTTCAATAAATAGTGACTATTATTATTATTACAGATTGATATTTTCTAAAAATAAACATATCAACAAAATCAATAAACATATTCTCTTATTAGGCAAATGGCTTTCCAATAAAATTAAATCTCTTGATAGATATAATATCATTTATTTTCCTAGATTACTTTATAGTATTCCTTCAATCATAATTTTTCCATTCTGGTCTATCTATGTTAAAGCAGATGTGACACTGAGGGAACAATTCAAAGTCATAATTACCTGGAACAATTAATAGGTCCCTCTAGCTGCCTATCATGAAGCTTACTATTAAAGCAGAATTAACCAATTTAGAATTTATCTCTTTTCTTTTACTCTGCTATTTAATGTCAGGTGAAACAACTTAAAGATAGCTTTGAAATGAATGGAAATGGGAAATGAAATAATCACTAAACAAGAGAATAGGTAAAGGCTTTGGACTTCTAAATGTCTGGTTTTAATATTCAACATGCTAAAATGTTTTCTTTTAATTAGTCAGCCCTAATACTTTTAAGCTCACATTGCAAGCTTTCCTTAAAAATGGGAAATTAGTTAATTATAATATTCACTTCTAAGCTGGAAACTTTTATTTTTAATTTAAGCAAAGGGTCACAGATTTTGGAAGTAATATGATCAAATGGTCATGTGCCTGGGTTTAAAGAGTAAAGGAACTTTGGTGTGAATACTCTATAGCCTCTTCCTAACTTTGTGGCTTTTGATACCCTTTCGTTTCTATAAAATGGGGATATAAAAGATTGTATATCATAAGGTGATTGTGAAAACTAAAGGACAAAATACATATCCAACTTTTAGAACAGTACCTGGGCCTTTGTAATCATATATTATTATTACTATTATTATGCACCTTGTTGTATTACTAAAACATCCCTTGCAGCTTGGTTACTCTGGTGAATAATAAAGCTATTATAATAGTTGTAAAAATTATATGATTTGGTATGACATTTGGAGCTGTTTCCTGGTTTGCTAACCATCTTTCAAATCATTACTGTGAGTAGAAAATGTAGTGCTGTATGATTATCAAGAGTGAAAGACACCTTTTAAAGTGATGGAAATAATTTATTACTTATCTGAATGCAAACTCACACTCTGAAATTAGGAATGAGATCTAGCGTATCTCTTTTAAATATTCATAGGCAATAAAAACTCTGGCTGTTTGATTGATTTAACAGGCAATTGAATGTTACCTTAGTTGTGCATAATTGTAGCTATAAGAAACATTAGGTAGGCAATAAAAAAACTCCACAAACCTCTGACATAGGCATTTAATTGAGAAGAAAATAGGTTAAGGCTCATTTTCAAATGAAAGGACACTTTGTTTATTAATGGAAGTACTATTTTTCCTTAGCCAACCAAAAAATCAAGAAAATTATAGTTGAAAACAAATTCAGTATTCTTGACTATAATACATTGATGCACAACATGATTTTTTGAAAAAAAATCAATTTGATAACTTTGTTACTGTAATCATTTTGTTTCTTCAGCTCCTCAAATAATGTATCCCAAGACTCCATCTACTGCATCAAAAAACCAGTCTTTTTAACTACATAGTCAGTGGGAATATCCAAAGAATTTATTTAACTAACAAATAATTAGGTGTTCCATTATTACCTAAGTAGTTTGGAATTGATCAACAGGCCCAGGTTATAGACTAAGAAATATGAAAGCCCCACTACTACCTATAATTTTAACTCAATATTATATCTTTAAAGTAACATCAGCTTATTAAAGACCAGAACAATAGATTTTGAGAAGGATATTATCTCTAATATAATGTGGTTTTCATGAAACTCCTAAAGCAACAAATATGCTTTATTTTCGTCATCAAATAACTCTCAGGTTATTATTGGCTAAATATCTAATACAAACATAGCCAGGACTATCTAATACAAACATAGCCAGGACTAGGTTTATTTATTATTATAGAATTCTGCTTAATTTATTATTAAAGTAGAAATGGAAAATGCCTTTGAATGTTAAGACTTAATAAATGATGAAAGTCCTTTTTTCTATCTCATGCATTTTATTTCATTAATGGAGGCATGTACATTTCATTATTTTTCATACTGGAATATATGTATTTCCTATCACTGCCCTTGGCAGGACATACACATACGTGCACACACACACATTTGTTTGAGGGTAGATAACTCTAGCATACAATCTAGTAAAAATAAAAATGTTTATCATTTATTGAATAGTACTATGTTCCTAGCACCATAGTAGGCAGTTGCATTACAGCATTTTATATTTTGCTCACAAGCACCCTATAAAACAGGATCTTCATCACAGGTGAAGAAATGGAAGTTTACCCGAGGTCACATAACTAATGAATGGTTGAGGAATGTGTCAGTTATCAATTTATTGCCTTTCAACATTGTCCTATTGTTGATACTGGAACATTTATCATTTTGCCAGCTGACATGACACTAAGCTTTGTCAGTAAAGGCACTAGAGTAACAATGGGGAGGTAAAGGTTTCTCTGCATCAGTGTGCTTTTACTTCTTTCTCCACTCCTGTGGCTCTGGGTTGGCCTCTGGGATGTTCAGTAGAGCTCATTTCATCCACTCCCCCATCCCCATGAGTTTCAGCAGCACCCTCTATGGGTAGAATCTTACAAATTCTATGGATGCCAGAGCAGAAAGTTCACCGTGGGTAGCAAAACCATAGGCAGCTTCCTAGAGCCCCACCTGATTTCTCCAAGTTCAGCAGCACCTACTACAGGTAGCTTCCCAGCAAATACAATGGGTATACCAGCCAGCTTCCCAGCAAATTCAAATAGCATTCCTCACAGGCTATATCCCTATGAATTTTGTCAACATTTCGTTCCAATATTCCCTCAAACTAGCTTCAGCCCACTATGGGCTAGCTGTGGGTTGAGTCAGCCAAGTAAACTTCTTTGCTATCTCATGGGCTGTGGATACACTCTTTCCAAAGAAGTGTTTGGACCCAGAGTTGAGTACAGCTCCTATCTTTCCACGTCCATTCCTTCCTTCCTTGGAGACCATCCCTCAGCCCTATGGCATTCTTTAGAGCTCTCTTTTATTCCTTCTTCAAAATTAATTCCCCATAAATACTTCTTTGTATTAAACTCTCCCAATTCAAGTAACTATGCATTTTCTGTGCCCTGTCTGGACTCTGATTAATATGAGGGGTTACTCTAACCCAAGTTTTTCTGATCCAAAATTCCATGGTTTAACAACTCAGTACATATTATAGTAGAGTCAGTGTTCAACCAAGGTTTGTTGTTGAATTGAATTATGTGTTTGGGGAAATATCAGGCTTCATACTAAATACCTTTGAACTAAAAGGCATAGGTAGTTTTGTGTTAATAAAGGATTGCAAGATGATTATATAGAGTGGGTACCTAGATCAGGTTAGAGAGGAGTCTATTCTTAAGGACAAAATAGACAAACACTGAAAAATATTAAAAATTAAAAGTCAGGTCATTTCACAGTTAATTCAAGATCAGTTTTACATTCTACCTTGATCTTTTTCTTGAACTACAATCTCTTACCTGACACTAATATTCAAATATAAATAAAATCACACTCTGATTCTATATCAAAATCCTAATTTAAATAACCTTCAAATTAGTTGCTACCTAGGAATATCTACTTTGACTCACATACAATAACAGTGAAACATGGTGAAGTGAACATTGGAATTCCCCTTTTCCAATCCCTGATCTCTTATTTTGATATGGATAAAATATGGATAGACTACTCACCAAATACAGTGGCAGGATTAAAGACTGGAGGCTGCTGTTGGCACATTTGCATGGATCTGCCAAATTCTCCCCTACTTCTTTTCAGGATCCAAGGGAGAGAAGCTTCTCCTACTCAGGACCTTTCTTCCAATTTATAAGCAAGTAAAACATCTCCCCAATGTAAATATCAAAAGGTTTCCTGAATATTCCCCTAGTTACCACCCCCTTTTTTCTCTTTTTATCCTTTTTTATCTTATATGGATATTATTTGTTTTTATGTCCTGTACATATTAGGAAATAAATGAATTTTTGCTTAACTAATCAATGTCTATAAGTAATGAAGTTAGAGATTTTTTTTTTACTTATTACTAAACCATAGAACAGTAGCTCACATGTAGTAGATGCACTCAGTAAATGGATATGAAACTAAACCTATTATTATGAAATAGGTTTTCTTCTTGACAAATAATCTATTCTTGACTTATAAGACAATATGCGAAACATTGTTTGACTAGGAAAAATATATTATTTTGTTTTAATTTTGATTTGAAAAATCATGCTGTGTGTGAATTATGAAACATGAACCTTTCTTAATTAAATACAAATAAGACTTTTTTTGTATTATTTGGAGAAAATATACAATACCCAGGGTAATAATGGAATCATGTATATTATTAGTGGATTATGCATCACCATAACAAATGTGTGTGGGGTGGAGAGAGAGGGAGAGAAAGTCAAAGAGAAACAGAGAGAGGGGAGAGAGAGAGAGGGGAGAGAGAGGGTAGAGAGGAGAGGGAGGGAGAGAGGGAGAGAGAGAGGGAGAAGGATGCCCACATATATTGGTTAATCTTAGATAGGGAAAAAAACCCTGTGATCAAATAACATCAGACTTAGAATATTAGATTATCTATTTATGAGTATTTGCACCTAAAAACATTACTATTCTTGATATGTCTCAGTTTCGTTAAAAATCCCACTTTGTAATGTTTTTGTAAGATTAAATGATATAATATCACATAAAAAATTCAGCCAGTGTCTGGCATTGAACTGTCTATAAAACCTGTTAGCTGAGCTAATATTTAAAGTGTTGCTCCATCTTATCTGAAAGGCCTGTATTTGCTATATATTTATGCAAATTAGATTAAAGAGATTTTTCACTTATCTTCATACCTCTTCATGTAGTTCCCTCCAACGAGAATTAAACGTCTCAAGTTCCTCATTGATCAGTTCATCCATGACTCCACCATCTGTTAGGGTCTGTGCCAATATTCGAATCTGATTTGGGTTATCCTCTGAATGTTGCATCAAATTTTCAAGTGACTGAAACACATTTGCAATAATTACTATTTCCCTTCTTTTTCTAAATATATTAAATTAACACAGAATGCTCAGTATCTTCTGATTTACATATAATTACGTCATAAGCAATTTCCAGCAAAATTTAATTGGAGTAATAAAACATGAAGGGGCATTTTTGTTTAAAAAAATATGATGTCGCTCTCCATGTATCTTCATGGGATTATAGCAGCATCATGAACTGAGCACTTAAAAAATCATTTGCAGCCACCTTCTTCCTTGACATCCTCTACTCTAAAACCTGGAGGGGTAAAATACTCAATTTCTCAAGTTTTCTTACAGCTAGTGATGTCCAGGGGACACGATTCTGAAAATATATGTAGGTAGAAAATCATGAGCAATTTTCCTTTCCAAATACAAGAAAAAAGGAACAGTCTCCAAGAAGAAATGTCATTGCCCTTTACACTTTTTTACATATACAAAAGCTAGGGATAGAGCAACCATTTTGGACTGGAAGGCAATAAAAATGAGGAAGAAGGCCTTCAAGCTCAGGAAGGGAGAAGAAGAGAGAGAGAGTTTACATGTCTCATCATATGGTTGAACTATCATTATCATCATCCCTGGGTAACCTCTTTTCAGTTTCCTTTTTGTGTTGAGAAAAGATCATTTTGTGTGTTTAATCCATTGTGTAATTTCTGTTATTTGCAGCCCAATAATCCATAACTGATATACTTCTCAAAATTGACAATGTTACCTGGCTAAATTATACAGGAAAAAAGAATCTCAGTGTCAAGTTTAGGCATGCTAGAAAACAAATGATTCAATATCAACTGGATCTCAAACATGTATATAATAAGTGATGGGCATTATGTTCTAACAAAGTCTTTCAATGCTCTTTTGTTTTCATGTCTTAAAGACATGGAAATGCCCCAATGCATATTTATAATTATTTCTTGTATATCAATTATTTCTCAAATTTTGAGCCACTTTAGTATATTTTTCTGTTAAAAATTGGGGAAATTAAAATATAGAGATTTCCTAAAAGAGTTTGTACAAAACATGTGACTATGACCTGTAAAATATTTAAAAGGCCATCACATTTTTAGGTATAAAATGTTATTAATAATTTTCCTTGTAAATTATATATTTTACTACTTCTAAAAAATCTTAACTTTGCAAATATTTATTTTAATGGATACATTATTTTTATAAGTCCTAATAAAGCACAAAGGCTGTTCATTTTTTTAAAAAGTGGACTGGGAGCAAGAAAGCTAAATTAAGGAATCAATTATAGAAACCTTGAACTTAAAAGGTATGCAGTTTTTCCATCCTTGAAAAATGATAGTCTAGACCTTTGCTACTCAAAGTGTCTACCTGGATGAACAGCAGCGACATTGTCAAAACCAATTTTACTTAAAATAGTAAATAAGATGGTAAATAGTGACAGAAAGCCTTTTTCCTACTTTTCTTTTCTAAATACTCTCCATTACTGCTTCAAGTTTGCTGCCTTTCCTCATTCTTTCTTTCTGAACATGCCCTGGTTTTTCCATGCATCACTTAAAATGTGGTATGAACAATTTAACATGGTGCTTCATGCACAGTCTGATATTTTCATACGATAATTGCATTTCCATATCTTTTGTTCTAGTCACTGTCCTTTAATTTTGCTATAAATTTGCTTGACTTTTCTGGAAGATGCATCCCATTGTTGATTCATAACGAACATTCAGTGAGCCTCTCTGAATAGGACAGGGCCAAAATTATAGTCCACTTGAGACCTCCCTTGTTGTTCTTTGATCCTCTTTAGGTTTTACAATTTTCTTCCAAAAATAAGGAAGTTGGATAAAATGATCTATAGGTTTTTGCTCTGATGTTCTAGGATTCTAATTTTACTATGTCTAAAGAAATATTTCACATTTTCTTCATATCTTGGGTAATTTGTCCTCCTTATTTTGCAGATTTATAAAGGGGCTACACTACATACAGCTCCAAAAATACTAAATATGCTAAAACTACATAATCATTACATATAGAAGATAAGCCAAAAGTACACTAAAATGTATAGAGTATGATTAATTAAATGTCAGAAGTTAACATAAATCAAAGCTCATATATGCAAAATCTTTTAAAATTTACTCGTTAAGAGTCTCCAAAATAAAACTTGAAAATTTACTTAGATTGTATGAATATTTTAAAGATATATTTCCAATATCAAAGCATGACAATTTAATACCTCAAAACATTCTCTAAGGTATAGATTTGTGATTTCAAATAATTTAAAAATATATTCCAATTTATGTAGCTTTTAAATTGGAAATAATGCTTCATATTATCATCCTGTTTAGCTCTACTTTAAAGGAGTAAAATTATGCATTCAAACTGTCTTTGTAGGTCTGCAGTAGATTTAAGGAGGTAATATGTCTACATAAGACTTAGTGATATAACAAAAGGCAAATGTTCTCTATAAGAGGTTATTTAAACCTTCTTTAAAACCTTGAGACCTGGAAGGTTCTTAGGGGGAACAAAGGCTTTATCCAAAGTGCCAGCACTAAGTGATACATGGTAACTACACTCTCCTGTGTGGTTTACTTTGAATTTATTTTCTATTTGGTAATTGACCTTATTCACTACTGCATATAAATTATCATCATTTAGTTTAATTCACAACTTACATCTAGCACCTCAGAGATTTCCTCAGCTCCAGCAGGAACATTTTCAGTGGTTTTAAGTTTCATTTCTACTTCATTTAGCCACTTGTTTGCCTTCTCCAAGTATGACAGTAATTCATGCCAACATGCCCAAACTTCCTAAGAAAGAAATATATATCACAGATTAAATGTTATGGTATAAAAGTGAATGAGAGACTTTGGCATTACATTTTTATAACTTCTGAAAATATAGCATTTTATTTTCTATCTTTCACCTTTCCTTTGCAGTAGATAATTTAAAATGCAACTAGTCATTTTTTTCATTTAATACCTGTATAATTACAAATCATTAAAGAAACATTTTATTACATGAATAATGAATAAATTCAAGATCCAGTGATTTACTTTTTAAAACAAAAATATTCACCAACATTGCAGTCTGAAAAATAGAAAAATAAAAACATATGTAAAAATGAATATATAATTTTCTTATACATCAACCATTTTTCTGTGACCTCTAAAATTTATCATATATAATGTTACAGTTAAAAGCAATTAAAATATGAATTTAAGTATAGCTCTCTTTTCACTAAACATTAGATCATATAATTTTTCAATATAACTAAGAAGACATTTTTAATGAAAATCTATGGCTTCATTTAAGTGGCTATATCTTTGTTCCCTTATCAGTACACATTTATTGGATAGTTAGGCTATTTTTAATTTTGTTTGCTAGTACAACTTTATGCCAAAAATCACCAAGAATATGGATTTTACCCAAATTTCTTATTACTTCATTGAGGTATATTATCAGAATATGATTAGTAACTATTTCAAAAATTTGATTTTTTAAAATGGCCTTTGATATGTATTGTGAAATAGATTCATATATATAAGTATTCATACATAAAAGACCAAATATTAAGATTGCTACTAGAAAATATAGAAGAAAATATTTCTGATCTTTGGGTGGAGAAAAATATCTTAAGATATTTGGTTAAAAAGTGACCAAAGAAAAGAGATGAATAAATTTGACTACATTAAAATTAAAACCTTTTATTCCTTGAAAGATACTGTAAAAGAATTGAGAAAAGAGCCCTCAAACTTGAAGACAACAGTTAAAATATTTGTAACAGATTAATAAGAATACAGAAAAAAATCCAAAAGTCAATTAAAAGATGAACAAATAATAGTAAATGAGAGGAAGACCTGAAACAGAATTGCAAACAGAAATATGGATATATAATAAACATAAGGATATGTTCAACCTCATTAGCAAACAAGGAAATGTAAGTCAGGATTGCAGTAAGATATCAAGTTCGCTGACACAAATAAGAAGTTTGACAATTCGATGTTTGGGAGAAAATATGCCTCAACAAAAAATTCATTGATTGCTGGTTGGTGTGTGCACTGAGTGACCATTTTGGAAAACAGTTTGTCATTCTCAGTAAGGTGAACATTAATATATCCAACAAAATGACAACTCCACTTTTTGGTATATATGCTCAGAGAAAGTGTTTTGCATGAATAACCAATACAATTACAAGAATGATCATTTTAGCACTTTCTGTAATAATAATTTTTAAAAAAGTTAACAACCTTAACGTCCACCAGAATGAGAATGGACAAATACACAGGTCACCTTCAAACAGAGAATAGAGAAGTAATGATGAAAAAGTACATCAAATAATATGGATAAATTTCAGACACAAAAATATTAGGTGAAAAGAGGAAGCTCTAGAAAACTAGATATTATAGGTTACCATATTTTATAATGCTCAAAATAGGCAAAACTGAACAATACATTGTTTTTTTATTCATATGTATGTGATAAAATATTTTTAAACCAAAGAAATAATAAAGGTAAGTTTCTACATTGTGTTTATGTCTGTTGGGGAAAAGGCAGAAAGATGCAAGAGAGGATAAGAATATTAAAATGATTATTTTCTATTACCTTGGAGACTGTTAGTAGTAGGTAAACCTATAAATACAAGATATACAGTGGTGCAATCATCACTACCTGAAACTGCCCCACAGTACCACCAAGAGTAAAGTCTAGAGAAAAGCTTTATTTTAGGATAAGCTAAATATTTATCAGACTTCCCATATTTCTCATTTTTTATAGCCCTTACAAATGATGGAGGATATTCTGTCTCTATCTGATGAAAAGTATCAGTCAAACCTGCCTTATAAGCCTACCACACTTCTATACCTGCTTGGTATCTTATGTACAGTTTATCACAAAAAGTAAAATTAAGTATTTTACTTTAAAAGGTGAAAGAAAACTTAAATCTGGGTCATTTCCAGCTCCTGCTGGACTACAAGCTGTCTTCATTCTGGGCATAGATCCCAGTGGGAAAATATAAATATCTCCTTAAATACCTGAGGGTACCTTAGAGCTTTGAAGATAAGGGGATGCAACTGGTAATGTGTCTTATTAACTTTGGTGTAGATTGAGGTAATGAACTACCTTGCTGATTTAACCGTCAGGATGGATGGCCTCTTCTGTCCTCAATGCGTCTGAAGGAGACAGCTGGAGAGGCTGAATGTACCAGCTTTACAGGTCACCTTTGCAACATAAAATATAGTCTCGAAGCCTGAATTAGAGTTAAAAGCCACTTAGAATAACTGTTAAGCTTAATAGTTTAGAACTTAAAATTACTTTGAAGTCACAGAATTCAAAGTGGCTTTGAAGGAGAGTACAAATGAAAAAGTAAACTTCTATACAAGCCTGTACATGGATCCGATGAGGTAAGCCCCCCACATACTCTGTTTCAGTAACATTACATTGCTGGATAAACTACAAAGGAAACATTTTTAATTCATAACTGATCTACAAAACATGTCTAAAAAACCTCATGTGTCAGAAAAAAAGAGCTTAACAAAATACTGACATATTAGAACAGAGTATGTAACATAAAATCTAGGGTAATTAACACTAACTTGAGATGGGAGATGAGGCACTGGTTTCATTCATGCCAGGAAGATGGAAAAGAATAATGTGTCAGAAAAAAGAGCTTAACAAAATACTGACATATTAGAACAGAGTATGGAGGAGTTCAGGATCAAGATGGCAGACGAGAAACACCGCCAGAAAGAGTGTTTCTGCAGAAAAGACAGATTCTAGCAGAAATTAGGAAAAAGAAGCAAGAAGGCGAGCATACAGCAGACGAGGGCTGGAAGGAGGGGTACCTGAGACCCCGGGAGACTCCACGGGAGGATGTTTCGGAGCAGAACTGGAAGCTGAGACCTCCGGAGCAGCCCGGAGACCAGTGGGAAGGGTAGGTGGATAAATCACCTTTCCCCTCCCCTGCATTTGGGACTGCTGGTGGGCTCCCCAGTGGGTGGAGACACCTGTGGACACCAGCCCAGAGACGGCCACTGCCAGCTAGCGGTGAGCCTGTAGCAGACACGGCACCAGACTCCCAAATCCCTGTGCACCTCCGTGGTATGCACAGACCCGAAACCGCGGGGCAGGCGCCATATTATCTTCTTCTCCCCTCCGCTGACTGCAGCTGCCCAGAGAGACAATACAGCCACCAGCAGGAGGCACCTCCAGGGAACCGGACCTTCCCTTTTGGGACTCTACAGCTGACTAAGGGGAACTCAGACTGTGAGCTCCCTACCCGCCAGCCCTCCCAGGTGCTGCTGGCACGGTGTTCCCAGGAGAACGGTGCCGACTCAGAGGCTGAGAGACACATACACAGGTTGGGCTCCCTGTGGGTGAATTGGGACCAGAACTCCTCTCCCTGGTGGGGATACAGTTTGAATTCTGGGACTCAGAGGTCGGACCTGCAGACCAGATCCCCTGCACCCAGGGCTAGCATTGCCCAGGGCACAGAAGGGATATTTGTGAACAGCCTGCAGAGGTGTGTGTGCCTCCAGGGGCATATCAGCGTCCTAGAGGGCAACCCTCCCACCAAAGGGAGGCCGTGCGCCCAGCCCAGGCAGTGTTTCTGCGCAGGGAACCTCCCCGCAGACATCACAATCCAGGGAGGCCTGGTGACGTGTGGTCTGGCCTGCTGTCAGAGGCCCAGGAGTAGCTGCGGACTTGGGGAGGGTGGAAAGAAGTGAGGCCCACTCCAGACTGCGGGTCTCAGACAGACCCACCCCCACACGCAGACTTTCTGGCTGAGCAGGACCATTCCAGCCCTGCCCTGACAGCTTTTCCTGGAAGCAGAGAACAGAACTTTGACCCCTGCTAACGGCATTGGTGGTGCCTGAGGGCAGGCTTACCCAACCCAGCTCTGCCCAGAGCAAGAGCTGATAACAGGGCACAAAAACAACAGCATAGCCTGTTCCCCCAAGCAAGCGCCACCTACTGACAGGACGGCATCCTGCACAGCCTTATCACGGCACCCACTGACTCATTATACAGGGAGTGGTCGAATCTCACCCACAGACACCACCTACCGCCTCAGAAACTAAACAAGGCGTGTGAATATCCAAACAAAAACCTAAAGGAAAGAAACAACAACTGATCAACATGGGAAGAAATCAGCGAACGAACTCAGGAAATATGAAGAACCAAACGGAAAACACACCCCAAAGAGGAGCACCAGACACCTAGAAACGGACACCAACCCAAATCAGGCAACCAAAATGACAGAAGAGGAATTCCATATGTGAATCATAAGAACACTCACCCAGCTGCAACAACAACTCAATAACCAACACAAAGAAACCACAAAAAGCCTCCAGGATCAGGAAAAAGAAATGGACGCAATGAAGAAAAGTTTGAACCGAACTCCTGGAAATGAAGAATCAATTCAGGGAACTACAAAATACAGTGGAAAGTCTCAAGAACAGGGTAGATCAAACAGAAGAAATAATCTCAGAGCTTGAAGATAACACCCTCCAACTAAATAAAACCATCATAGAGATAGAGCAGAGAAACAAGAGAAAAGAGCAAAGCCTATAAGAGATGTGGGATTATGTGAAGAAACCTAATGTGAGGGTCATAGAGTTACCAGAAGGGGAAGAAGACAACATTCAAGGGTTGGACAAGCTATTTGAAGATATAATAGAGGAAAATTTCCCAGGCCTTGCTCAAAATCTTGAATATACAAGTTCAAGAAGATCAGGGACCCCTGGAGATTCAATGCAAACAGGAAGACGTCACCATGCAGTCATCAGACTGACCAAAATATCAACTAAAG